ATAGGTGTACGATTTTTGTCCAGTCTCTTCCCGCACCCCCCACACCCTTTCCCCCCCACCCCCAGAATAGTCAGTCCATTCCCTTTCTATGTCCCTGATTCTATTATAATCACCAGTTTATTCTGTTCATCAGATTATTTATTCACTTGATTTTTAGATTCACTTGTTGATAGATGTGTATTTGTTGTTCATAATTTGTATCTTTACCTTTTTCTTCTTCTTCCTCTTCTTAAAGGATACCTTTCAGCATTTCATATAATACTGGTTTGGTGGTGATGAACTCCTTTAGCTTTTTCTTATCTGTGAAGTTCTTTATCTGACCTTCCATTCTGAATGATAGCTTTGCTGGGTAAAGTAATCTTGGTTGTAGGTTCTTGGTATTCATCACTTTGAATATTTCTTGCCACTCCCTTCTGGCCTGCATAGTTTCTGTTGAGAAATCAGCTGACAGTTGTATGGGTACTCCAAAAAAATACATTTTTATATTATCACAGAAATAGAAGAAGTAATGCTTGCAAAATTTCCAACACATGTCCTGAGACATTGCTCTTTAGAACTGAGCCAGCTTGCTGTTGAATGTCACTGCTAAAGAAGGGAGAGGGATTTACCAATTGGTGCTGCCTCAGATAGGGTTATGATTGGATATCATCACTGTCCATCATTTCTGCCTCTCAGAAGAGGTCATAAAAAATGCCAATATACCTCCTCCTCGTTAGTGGTGCGATGGGGATTAGAGAACCTTCTATGTCTATCTCTTAAAAAGGTGTGTGTATGTCTGTGTGTGTCTGTGTCTGTGTTTTGCTTGGAGAGATGTAAGAAACAAACCTCCAAACAGAGAAATCAATGTAGTAACATCTGAATTCTATAGAAGAAAAACGTAGTATGCAAATTGTCCTCTTGACTGGGAGTGCATCCAGTTCTACCAGGGGGCAGGGCCGGCCAGGGGGAGGGAGGGAGACCCCAGCTGGCAGCCGGCAGCCACCAGGGACCCTGCTAGTGCATGAATTTCATTCACTGAGTCTCTAATATTAAATAATACGGGATTCAGTGGAGGGTAAAGGGGGCAATGCAATATCCCTTTGATATTGGTCTGTAAGTCTCTTGTTCTAAAATTTCTCCTCATTGTCTACTTTAAGGAACTAAAAAATGGGTCTAGCTTTTTATTTGGGTAAGCAACTTTTTTAAAATTTATTTTTTTATTTTTAAATCTATTTTTATTGATTTCAGAGAGGAAGGGAGAGAGAGATAGGAGCATCAATGATTAAGAGAGATCGGGCTGCCTCCTGCACACCCCCTACTGGGGATAGAGCCCGCAACCCAGGCATGTCCCGTTGACCAGAATCAAACCCAGGACCCTTCAGTCCGCAGGCCGGCACTGTATCCACTGATCCAAATCAGTTAGGGAAGGGTAAGCATCTTTTACAATAGCACAGCATTGACATAGAGGTGTTGCAGCTGAGTGATATCCTTGGTGGCAGGGTGTAGGTATTGAAGGTGTTAGGAGGGAACTCAGAATGAGGTAGGTAAAAAAAATACAGGAGACAGGAATTGTAGTCTCAGTCTACATTCTACCCTTAGGAGGACATTTCATTATTGCAGATTTTTAAAAATGTGATCCACTTTAGAATCACCTCAGATTCTCAAATCTTGCCCAAGATTGCTAAATTAAACTCTATAGATATAGGAACCTGAATTTTTACAAGCCCTCACACACCTATTATACCCAATAAAGGCTGAGAATTATTCTTTTAAGGGTAGGTGGTAGGCTTAAAACCAGTTCATTTCTAACACGTTTACCATTCTTCCCAAGGAGAGACCCTTTGTGATGTGAAAAGATAAAAAGAGTCACTCTTCACTCAGTACTTATCATATGCCAGGCTCTGAGCTAAGCAATGACACATGAGGTAGCAGTTACATGAATTTTGCTGATGAGGTAGCAGCAGAGACTCAAAGATTAAATAACTTGTCAAAGATTGATCAAGGAATGAATGGTGAAGTCAGAGTTCAAATGTAGATTTCTTTTGACTTTAAAAAAATCAAGGCCTTAAACTCAAAATCACCCAGAAAGCTTATTAAAACAGATGCCAGCCCTCACCCTCAGGGTCTCTAATTCATTAGGTCTAGGGTGGGCCCTGAGAATTTGCGTTTCTAAAAAAGATGCTGATGCTGTGGGTCTGGGGACCTACCTCCCTTTGAGAACCATTGCTCTAAAACATATTGCCCCTCAATCTTCTTTTGGGTCAGTCTGGAGACCACAAGGCCAGTTTTGTTTCCAACAGCCACACCTGTATTCAACGATGCCAACTGAAGACACTAAATGAAGGATGTGACAGCCTGTGTTGAGTGTGAAGCTGGCCTAACTGTTAATAAGTTTAAAGGCATACATATCACTGCAGTCACTACAAAGTTGGGCTCAAAGTGCAAGACACTTGAACTCACCTATCAGAGGGACGTTTTCTGAGGCCGGCATGATCTCTGCCACCATGAGCTGAAATACAGTCATGGCCAACAGGATGGTCACTCCCAGGGAGACCTTTTCCCCAGAGGCTGCAGGGAGATAAAAACTCAAGGGAGCCAGAAAAGAGATGAGGACGCAGGGGATGAGGAGGTTGACGATATAGAAGGAGGACCTCCTCTTCAGAAGGAGAGTGAATGTCACATCGGGGTAAGGCTCAGAGCAGCAGCCATAGGAGATCACGTTCTTCACCGCAGGCATGCCATGGACCTCCCACTCCACATCTTCAATGAAGTCGGAGAGGTCTCCACTGTCCAGGGCGTTGAATATGTCTACCTGGTTGCCATTGTAGGTCCAGGAACCAAAGGTCAGGTTGCACTGCTGGTTGTCAAAGGGGAAGTAGGTGACGTCCACCACACAGGAGCTTTTGGTGATGGCTGGTGCGTCCCAGGTGATCAGCCCATCATACCGCAGGACCACATTGGTGTTCACAGGCTCGGAAGATTCATCGTCAGCCCTGAAAGTGAGAGGAAGAAAATGAAAGCAGCTTGCTGGAATAACTCACCAACTTCCCATTCCAGACAGCTCACCACCCTGTGTCCATCACTTTAATGTCTTTGGCTGTGGGTCACCATTCTCCCTGTTACTTTGGCATGAAAATCTGAAATCAACTCTAATTTTCTCTTCTCCTTCATCTCCTGTGATTAGTGAGGGGCAAGTTGTCTTGGACTCTTCCTTAAAAGCATCTCTGCTTTACGTCCCTTCCTCTCTATTCCCAATACCACTCTGCTGGTCCAGGTATAATGACTTATAAATCCAGACAAAATGTAAACCTGTCAAAGCTAAAATCTGAAAGGGAGGTTCTGCTTACCTGATTTTGTTAACTTTGGGCACAAGAATATTCAGGCAACTTTTTGTTGCTGTTGGAAAAGTTGTACATGTGTAGTAGAACTTTTGGAAAACATGGACAAAATTTTATTCACCCAGAATTTGAGATATAATAATGTATTCTGGATAAATGTTCTTTTTGCTTTGTCAACATTTATGCCTGGCAATTTGGGGTACAGAATTTTTATTTTCCTTTGGGGATTTCTCTTTCTCCACCACCATTGCAAGGCATATTGACTGTTGATCAAGTCATAATAGGAGTTATGACCTTCTGTTCAGGGACAGACAGCCAAAGATAACTCTATAGGAAGGTAGCATATCCTGACCTCACTTTATTTTCTCCCTTTAATTGCACACTGGTGCTCCCCAGAAGCCAGAGGGAAGAGTTTAAAGGCATTCCTATTTATTTACTTTAAAACCAATATCTTACTGTTTTATCTCCCTGGTTTCTCTGATCAGATTTTATAGCTCAAAACTTGCAATGGTTTCTTATTGTCCACCAAATACTCCAAACCTCCTTAGTTTAGTGTCCCAGATGTTCCATGATCTACTCCCATCTCACTTTCCAGCCTGATGTCTCCCACGGTCTCCTTCACTCACACTCCACCCACCAGGGCTGAAACCCTAACACATCCTGTGAGTTTCCCTCCTTCACTCAAACCCTTTCTTCTATCTATAATATTTTGCATGAACAAATCTAATACATTGTTCAAGACCCACTTCTTAAAGCACTAGTAATGTCAACTGTAATTGATAAATAAAATTTTAAAGTAAATTTTAATAAAGACTCACCTCCTATGAGAAGCCTTCCCTGCCTCTCCAGTCAGATTAAATATCCATCATTTGTTTTGTGTGTGCAACTGTAATTGATAAATAAAATTTTAAAGTAAATTTTTAAAAAGACTCACCTCCTATGAGAAGCCTTTCCTGCCTCTCCAGTCAGATTAAATATTCATCGTTTGTTTTGTGTGTTTTTTTAAATATTTTATTGATTTCAGAGAGGAAGGGAGATAAAGAGAGAGATAGAAACATCAATGGTGAAAGAGTCATTGATTGGCTGCTTCCTGCACACACACACACCACCCCCACTGGGGATCGAGCCTGCATGTGCCCTGACAGGGAATCAAACCATGACCTCCTGGTTCATAGGTCGACTCTCAACCACTAAGCCACACCAGCCAGGCCAGAGACTGAGTTTTAAAATCCTAATTTATTCTTCAACACATTACAGAATGCCTTGCCCAGAAGAAAGATTTGACGAAGAGACGTAGGTAGGTAGGTAGGTAAATGCGTTGCTTGAATAATTAAGGCCCATTCTCCTGGAGAAAGTGTCATGACATCATAGAAACGTCACCAAGAGATTTTGGTTCAAAACCTGGTTCAGGTTTTATAACCTGGAGCAAGTTACATCTCACCTGTAAAAGTAAGGAGTATAATACTTTAAAGTTTCTTTTTGAACATTAGATTAAGTAAGTAAATTATATGTATTAATTTCTATTGCTATTGTAACAAATTCCATAAACCTAGTGTCTTAAAACAATACAAATTGAACATCTCTAGAGTTCTGAGAGGTCAGAAATCCTAAAATCAAGATGCAGACAAGGCTGCACTCCTGTGGAAGTTCTGAAGGACTGTCCCTTTCCTCGTCTTTTCCAGCTCCTCGAGGCTGCCTGCATGCCATGGAGCAGGGCATCACTCTGCCCTCTGCTTCCTTCATGGCATCTCCTACTCTGACCCTCCTGCCCCTCTTTTATAAGAATTCCTGTTTACATTGGGCCCACCAGGTAATCTCCTCATCTCAAATCCTTGCTGTAATCACACCTGCAAAGTCCCCTTTGCCTCGTAAGGTAACATATTCACAGGTTTCCGGGATTAGACACTTTGGGGGCGGTTATTCTATCTACCACCCTTTGCAAAGCCCCAACTCTGCCTGACAATAGTATGGGTCCAATATATGTTCCTTTCTTCTCTTTCCCTTCCCTGTGTTTCTAACTGGGCTCCGTGTTCTCAACCAGAATATGAAACATGACAGGGACCAACTTTCAAAATGGAGGTCGACAGAACAGGTTGACCCTGAGGATATGTCATTTGTTTCCCTCTTTTCTTCCCTTTCCTCAGCCACTTAGCGCCCTCCAGGCAGCCCCTTGTCCCCTTGGAGCTGATCAAAGACTGAGCTGATCTTAATCACCTTGCACTTGTGCACACAGGTCTTTCTCGGTGGGGGCTGTAAGAATCCCACCCCGGAACCGGAGGAGTGGGCTGGTGAAGGAGAGAACAGTGAGTCAGCCAGTTTTTTCGGTCACCAGAGTGCCTGGACCCTCAGCGTAGACTCGTCTGTGCACTCAGTCCCACCATCCATCCCACCAGTGCTGCTTCCTGAAGGGGCACTCGTGCCCACTTGCAGGCTGAGCTCTCTCTTAGGAGAGATCCCCTGAGCCGCCCCTCACTCACCTTGTTCTGAGCCCAAGAGGAGCCTTTCCCAGCCCATGGAAACTTGAGTTCCAGAATAAAAAGAGATTGAAGCTCCTTTAACAATAGGTGGAGCAACGGAGCCTGAATTGTGACAGAACAAGCTGGCTCCTTCTCAAAATGTGGCCCACGGACCATCAGCTCTAACATCTGGAGCTTAGAAAAGTGCAGAATAAAAAACTCTAGCCTAGACCCACTGACTCAGAATCCATATTTTGATTAGCTCCTTGGGTGATTCATGTGTTCTTTACAGTTTGAGAAACATAAAGCTTACCTACATTTACTCAAGGCCCCTTGCTCTGAGATCAGCCAACTGGTGACCTTATAACCTCGTTCCTCCTCCTCTCCATACAAAGTCCAGTATCCATAGGCCAGCTTCCAGCTGGTCCATCCTGATTTAATCTTAGTAGTATCATTGTTACTGATACGTGATCTTGGAGAAGGGAACACCACTATTATGTGTTGAATTGTGTCCCTCCCAAAATTCATATGTTGAAATCCTAGCCCTCAGCACCTCAGAATGTGACCTTATTCAGAATAGAGTCATTACAGAAGTAATTAGCTAAGATGAGGTATAGTAGGGTGGATACTTAATCCAGCACAGCTGCTGTCCTTTTAAAAGGAAACTTGTGTGCCTGGCCCCTGTGGCTCAGTTGGTTGAGCATCGTCTCATACACCAGGAGGTCACTGGTTTGATTCCCAGTCAGGGCACATACCTGAGTTGCTGGTTCAATCCCCAGTGTTTCTCTCTCATCGATGTTTCTATCTCTCTCTCCCTCTGCCTTCCTCTCTCTGATATCAATTAAAGAAGAAAACATATTAAAAGGGAACATGTGGCCCAGACAGTACAGAGCAAATGCCGTGGGAAGATGGAGCAGAGATTGGGGTGATGCTTCTGTAAGTCAAAGAACAACAAAGACTGCTACCAACCGCCAGAGGCCAGGGGAGAGGCCGGGCACAGATTTTTTTTAAATTTCTTTATTGATTAAGGTATTACATTGTCCTTATC